GTACGCTTTTGTTTTATTTTTTTAACATTAACCAGTGAGTAGTTGAAGCAAGTTAAAGCAAAATGTGCATCATCTTCAGTTATTGTTTGTGACAGGGGTATCGTAGCAACTGTAATGCCTAAAGCTAATCTACTGTGAGCAGCGTCTCAGGATGTAGCCTGTTCACTCACTGCTGCATTACAGACGATTTCTGTTGTCAATGTTTTTTTTTAAAATTTAATTTCTCCATGTGATTTCTGGAGACAAGCTTTTCCACCTTAACCCTTTGCGCTAGGCAGCCATTAAAGATCACGCAACAAGTTTTATACTGTGCTGTGCCAATAATGTTACCTCCTGTATCGCTGCTGAGCTTTTAGGCTGAACAAATGGTTTTTTTTTATCACGCAGTTGTTTTGGTATTCATTGCAGTCTGGTATCACAATTAAAAACCACTGGGAATAATGTGTATTAAAACTCATCCATTACAGTGTCTGCTGCTTTTGATCGACTGGTTAGTCATTACCTTTAGTCACTCTGAGGATTAACAATGACATTTTATAGTGATGGATTATCAGTCTTTTACATGTTTGAGCTTAGTACCTGAAGAACATGTGACTAATAGTGTCTTCATGAATACGTGCGAGGAAAAAAAAAACCAAAACAAAACATTGTTGTTGAAAACTAACGATGGTCAGGCCATTGGCCGCCCATTGACCTCACACAACACAGTTCCAGTCTTTAAATAAGGGGTTTTAAAAGCGGGTGGGGGGATTAAAGTTTTTCAGGTGCACAGCAGCAAGATTAACAGGTTCCCAATGCTGTTTTGCTTTGGGGAATATCTTGTGTGTAAACGAAATTGGTCCACAAGATAGTAACTTCTGCATACAGAGTAAAAGATTAACATTTTCCAGGACTTCAGTGCTCCGGCATTTGAGATTTAAATTGCTCTACAATAGCCCTGCGCCCCCTATTTTGTGAACCACTGCATTAAGAGGCCGAGGCTCTTGAGCTTAATCTGAAATTCAGATCGGAGGACTTGGTCCCTTCCAGCTTCAACTCTAGTCTCATTAGGAGAGGACAAAGTGTTGGTGTTCTCCTAATAGATCCCTGATGCTACTCTTTAATTACAGGGTCAGTATTGTTGTATGACACAGGCCTCGCTGTGCTCCTGGATAAGCAGCAGATTCAGATGTAAACAGGGACTTGGTGTGTTTATGGGATGCAGCAGCTGTCGTGCAGGTTTCAGGTTCTGCTGAGCTTCTCTAAGGACCTGGCAGCGGCTGCGGAAGTGGCACAGAGCGAACAGAAGCTGCAGTCATCGCTGAAGGAAGGCGTCTGTTTTGGAGAGGGTTTTTTTTTATTAACTAGAATACGTGGGATGGGTGGGGTTGGAGAGACTATTCAGATGTCAGTCACAGAAATGAAGCCGCATTTATTTCGTAGTTTACAGTCTCGGGTTACATTGTTAAATTCTGACTCCTGACGCTGTCGACTTAACATGTTGCCTTCAAAGTGAAATCACTTTAACTTATTTTATTATTTTATTATATTTAAATGGCCCCATCTCATTTACAGTATGTTGTTGCTAAACTTCAAAAAAGTTTTATTCCAAAGCCATTATAATTATTATTTACATTTGCAATATAAAGGCGTATACTGTAGTATGGCAGCTGAAAAGGCCTCAAATACCTGGTTCTGGGGCCAGTTGTGGCACTTGCACATGATGTACAGTATGTGGCCCTTGAAATCTTCTTTTAAATGTTTCAAATGACTTTCTCTCCACTGCACAACCACTTTAATTGAATTTTTAACTTTTTAATTTTTATGCCACAACAACAATTGTCAGGCTTAAATTTGGTCTCTTTTGTCTCTTGTTTCTTTCTTCCTTAAGTTTTGCCACCTGGGCTATTTACTAAAACATGAATACATACATAAATATATATAAATCTACAAAATAGACAAAGTATTTTGCACTGTAAAAGGTGGTACAGAGACATAGTTTATAAGGGCCTCCATAGCACTACATATTAATGTAAAAATAGTCATTGTTTTTATTCTTTTCAGTTTGTGAAAAATAAAACTGCACAAATGGATAAAGATGAGGAACAGGTTAACCTTTTGCATACTTTAACAGTGAGCTCTGTATAAGATTTCCATCCGGCTCTTTTCACACTACGTAGATAATGAAAAGCAGTATTTAAAATAGTGATGAGTATTAAAGCCAAACTTGTCTGATCTCATTGAGTTCATCAGTTACTAAATAATTCATCAAAGGTCTGCGTTGACATTGCAAAGCAGCATTTGTTTTTAATTTTGTGATAGGTCTTAATTATACATGACAGTCAAAATTCATCTTGTAATTGTGATAATTAACTTTAGAGCAGTTTGAATCCGGTTCAGTTTGGATGTAATTTTCTGTTCCCTAAGTTGTTTTTTTTTTTTGACGTTTTCAACAAATGTAACAATTATTATTATTACCCGTGTTATTATTATGAAGAGGACGTAGACAAAATAACTGGTTAAAACTGTACACATATGTTGCCTTTTAGCATTGCAGCTAAATTTTTGTAGAACAATGTTTTTGTTTTTCATACACTTCTATTCTATTCTATTCTATTCTATTCTATATAATCATTCTATGGAATCTATGTTTCCACTCTAGTTCAAACATTTACAAGCGCTAAAGTGCTTTCCTGAACTTTGGCCCCACGACAGGCGCGTTCACGAGGACGAACGGCGGGCTCTTATCTTTAAACCCCGTGGGAACGAGAATTATGGGTAAAATTTACGACACTGTGCGCGTTTTGTTTTCATTAAGTGTCACCATGGACTCACAGAGCGACTTTTATTTCACCGTGAAACATTTTTGTAAGTCACATCTCTGGAGCTGATTTTCAAACAGCCATTGCGCATGCCCGTGTTGGGTAACCCTTCCTCTCTGCAGCGCACGGGACCGCGGGCGCGCCCAAGGAAAGAATTTAAAGTCCATGCGCGCTGCCGATGTTACTGTTGTGACTTGTTGTGAGGGATGAAGCTAAGACACAGAAAGGAGTTCTAAATGTGACAGCGTTAAATAAAAAGGGCTGCGGGAGAGGAAGCCACGCATGGTGACTATCCGTGTAAACCTGTGGCCACTTGTAAAAATAAACATGTTATTTTGGAGCTAGAAATCTAAATAAACTGTCCCACGTGTTCAGCTCTTTGCATTGGTATTCGTAGTTTAAATAAAGATGAATAAAGAATCGTTTAGCAACTGTTCGAAAGTATTGCGCACACGTTTGAGCTTTATGTATGTGTTTCGTTAGGATATCTGAAACATGGCATTAGAAAAAACATTTTAAAATTATGACTTGTAAATTAAAACTATCAGTCTTCGAGTGTAAAAGGTAAGTTAAAGTTAAATTGTTTAGGAATGCTTTAAAATGAACGTTTTTCTGTATTACTTTTCATTTTCAACGAGGTCAAATTTAACCGTTAGCGTCCAATAAAAACTGACCCGCATAATATTCAAATTTTAAAACATTTGAATATTTGTCTGTATAGGCTGCAAATGCAAAATAAGTTTTGTAGATGGGAAAATGTTAGCTTTAAAAAAGGTCTGTTGATTCTAGAAAATAAGGCACGTTATTAAATAATATGTAATTGTAGTATTACCTATAAACATACAAACATACCTTATTTATTATTTTGGTATTAAATAGGGAATTTTAGAAACTTTGACGGAATTAAAAAAAAAGTTTTGTCATAACCTTAAGGCTAACTTTTAGCCCTTTAGCTAAAGTGACCAACACTTAATTTGTTTATTAAATTGATTTGACCGCCCTGCCTCTCCACTACTCTTCCGCCACACCCCTCCTCTGTACAGTTATCAGATACGCACACAGTCCTTTCTATCACACTGGCTAATATCAGTCTAATGTGTGTAATGTAGATATGGGGATTTCTGCAGGTGTCAGAAAACAAGATACGGTGGTTATTGATTAAAACCCCTCTGTGGGGGCAGGGGGGCGTGTCCGTAGGAAAAACTTTCTTTCTCACCCTCTCCCTCTCCTACACACGCTGTTGTGGTCATCACGTAGACATAGTGCATCCACCAACCCCTCATTTATTTAATAGATAACCTTAACTACTAGAAATATATCCGCACTCATAATCCCTGCCTGGATCTACCCTGACCTTTATTCTAATCCCTTACTCCGAGGTATATCTGGAATCTCGACTCAGCCGTGATCTGCACGAGGACAAAGTGTTCCACTACCGTAATGGGTTTTTTCTTTTTACAAAAAACATCAAAGTTTAGCGCATTGCAATTTTGTTTGTTTTTTAAGAAGCTTTTTTCCCTAAAACAATCTTTGTGAAAATCAACTTACACTGTACCAAACCACTTTAATTCTCACTTATTCCTGCTTATAATCTTTAAAAAAACCCCAAAACAATTCGATTCGATTTGAAGATTTACCGCATTTGCAGAATAAAAGAAAACGCATTAAAAAACTTAATCGTGGAGTTAAAAATATATTTTACTAATCAGGAAAAACGACCAACTAAAATCTTCATATATTTAGGATAAAGTCATTCGAAGCCAGTTCACCGACAGCACCTTGGTCTGGGTGGTGTTTGGCACAAACTGAACTATATTCCGTATTCTATTTAAATAAGGTGACAACAACTGAACAATCGCCTGTTAAATAACAGTTTTTAGCGGATGTACACGAACTTTTCTGTAAACGGAACTACGTGATACAACATTAGAGTCTGAATGTTTTCAGGACACACATTCCTTCCACTGGGGAATTCCGTTGGGCCCCACATATAAACGTTGAATTTTGGAGAGTGGTCGTGGGGGAAGAGGTGATCAGTGACAGCATATAGTGGTGGATCTGATTTTTTTTTTTTTTTGGCATTTGTAGAATAATCTCCTCAGATTATATGGATCAATGGTCAGTGTGGAGTATTTTCTCTTGAGGAAAAATCTGCACCTTTCTCCCGTGCTGGGACAAAAACTCCTCTAAATCATGTACTTGAAATAAACCTCTTTTCTTGCAGTTTATTCAAACAAACATTTTAACCATAAACACACGAGGACTTGGAATCATTTTTTTTGTATACAGTTTAGGCTAATGAACTTACTTCTGCAAAGTCTTAACACAAGTCAAACATGCGGGATTTGCTTCTTCCTTTTTTTCCCCTGCAAAAAAAAAAGTAGAGTTGACAGAACGGGAGGCGAGGTGGAGCCAAAGCACAGAGAAGCGGTATAAAATGTGTACAACATAAGTTTAGATTTCTTCTTCTTTCCTCTTTTTTTAAGTCGGGAGTCACGGCAGACTCGATATTGTGTTTTGAAAATCCTTATTTTGGTCGAAAATGCCCAAAAGCCAGTCTTTACAGCAAGCATTTGCCCCCAAAACATAAGAAAATCAAAAAAATCCCACCGTGTGTATTTTGAGTTTTAAGCCAGTATATATTTACATTTATAAATGTACAATGCAGCAATGGTACACGTCTTCATTATTTATAGAAAAACAACAAAATGGTCATTTCAATTGCTGTGCAAGTTCACTGGTAAACACAAAAAACCCGCATCATCCATGTTTTCTGTTTATGAGAAAAGTGATTGCAACTCATCCAGTTGTCTCTTAGATTTCCCTCCGCCTCCTCCAGACGGCGCTCTGACACCGCTCCGTCCATCGCTTATATATTTATATATTTATATTTTTTTTATTTATTTATATTTTTTTTAATGGAAGGGCCCACATCAGCTGTTGTACTGACAGGCGTTCAGGCTCGACCCCGGGCTCTGCAGGCCGCTGTAGCCGAAGGTCGGATGCTGTTTGGATTTGAGTCTGAGCGTGGCCAGGCTGGAGTTACAAGTGTCCCGGTAAACGCTGTACGGAGAGCCGGGAGGTCCGTACGGACACGCGGACGAGGACATGGCCGAGTTGATGCCAGATGTGCCGATGCCGTTTAGGTTGCTGATGTTGTTCAGACCCGGGGTGGGCATGCCCGGCACGGCGGAGTGGCCCATCCCGGAGGCCATAGTCATGGAGGAGATGGAGTTGGGCGCAGAGAACATGGACTGTGAGGTGAGGGGGCTCATGGAGTTGAAGAAGGTGAAGTTCTTGGTGGAGAGCGGCGCCGGCGCCAGGCCCTTGTTGGTCCAGTTGTTGTACGTGTAGGCCGGGTACATGTCGTCGTAAGGCTGCATCAGGCCGCTGAACTGCGGCAGGTAGCTGTTCTTACACAGGTCCATCTGCTGGTTCCGCTCCCGCTTCCTCCACTTGGCCCTGCGGTTTTTGAACCACACCTGCAGGAGACACGTGACGGTATGAGCACCAGAGGTTTGCAAAACAACCACGGAGATAAAATATTACCATCGTCATTTTACTGTAGAAGCAGTCACCCCGGCGCAGGCCTTTACCCATGACGCAAACGACCCCATTTTTCACGCCTTCACACTCCATTCCTCCAATCTCTGTAAGTCCTACATTCAAGTAAACTAAAACGTACTAGTAGGAACTACTATCGGTGTCGGGATCACGGTTTAGCAGAACACAGACTGTGGCATAATAAAAAACCTACAGCTTTGGTGTCTTACCCAGGGACCCATAAACAACCCGGTGGGAATCGAACATTCGACCATAGGACGTACCAACTTGATAAAAAGCACAAACAAGCAAACCAATATTGCACATACTGCATTCAAAACGAATACAAATAAATAAATATAGTAAATACAGCAAACATGTATAGATCAGGACATGTTTTGCATACTGCATTCAAAACGAATACAAATAAGTAAATATAGTAAATGCAGCAAACATGTATAGATCAGGACATAACAGATGTCAATAGTGTCTTGTCCTGCAACTAAAATTTTGTTTTGGGGTTAAGAATTTTTTTTTTATCGATATGGACCAATTTGTTTTGAATGCATTTAAATTACTTCAAATCAATACAGAATCCCTGATCCTTTTATAAAATTATATATATTTTTAAAGCTGAATAATATTATATTATTTATTTTAGTCCCTAACATAAACGGTGCTAAATAACCTAAATTTCAACAGTTGGTTTCTTTTAAATCAAAATAAAATCTGTGTTATTTCTTATCATTAAAAACTATAGAAGTATTTAAATAACTCTAATTTGACACTGATCATTTGGCTGATTTTATTTAACAATTTAATTTAATTAATCACTACTGTCTGCTCCTGGTCTCTCTCCTCTGTATGCACCTCCTACTACCCCCCCCCCCCCCCCCCCCCCCCCTCCCACCTCCGTCGTCTTTCCCATCACCTAATGCTGCTCAGTAATGTCGGTGTAATTAAACACAGAACAGTACTGGAGCATAAATCAATTTTTCCCTCTTAATCCTGCAAGACAATCAGGGAGTATAAAGACGGATGTACAAATGTACTGTTTTACTGTTAACAACACAGTTGTGTGTTTATTATGTCAATTAATTTTAAATCATAAATGAGGCTTATACTTGAGAGTGATTAAAAAAGATTTCAGGGTTAAAATAATTTTATATATTTTTAGTCATACTCAAAATAAATTAAAATAAAAATCTGCAAAGTTCATGAAACTCTTTAAATACACCAGAAAAGTAGGACTTATTTATTTTACCGTACGCCGAATGTTTTAAAACTCAACAGATTTGAACGAAAATATAACAAAAAGACAATTCATTGACTAATTAAAAAAAAAAACAACTTTTGCGCTTATTTCTGCTGACTACGTTTATTTTAGGCAGTATTTTGCACAAACCTTACCGACTTATAGTGACCAATTACAACGTCCTGTTGCGACATTAAAATGTTCGTTCCTGATAGTTGTTTAATTTAAAAAAATGATTTAATCCCAATTTAAATTCTTATTTATATATTTTTTCAAACCACATGAGGAAATATCAATAGCTCAACATGCTGATTAAAGACTGAGGGCATTAAAAAAAGATCAAGCTCAACCACTTTCAAATGCCAAAACATTGTATGTGTCCCTCAGACATGAATATGAATTATTCAGCCTCTGTCTGTGGCGCTGTATTGTGTTTGTAATTCACCCTGTCTTTTAGATAACGACATAAAAACCAAACTCTCCAAACTCACACCGAACCTCAAGAAACTTTTAAATAGCTGTATGCATTTTATGCAATCTGAGACGGAGGACTTCGGAGAGGCTCGGCCGCCAGGCGCCAGTTGCTGTAAATGAAAACCAAGTGCGATTGTTTCATGTTTGACGCCTGTTTCAGACTGTGTAAATGTCTGTGCATGTTTGAAACTGGACCGGTGTTTAAACCCGCCAACTGTTCCGCAGACGTTATTTCATTTTTTAAAATTTAGAAATGCGCTGTGTACAATCATTGCACCCACCCCCCGACTCCCCCCTCAAAAAAGGCTCCAAACGCATCCAAAAATAAATTAGCTGATGACGGAATATTTTTTACTCCACGAGGAGAAATGCGGGGCGCACTCCTAATAAGGAGGTCGACAAGAGGAAGAAATCCTCCAGTGGTTCCATTAACAGATGTAATAAAAACACACACGCGTGTGTGTTATTTCTAGGAGCAAAACAATTGACCCTCTTTTCTAAACGCCATTAAATATAAATGTGAGTGTAATGGAAATGTTTATCTTTGAATGATTGGCGAAACACAATAAAATGACTTAATAGCAAGTACTGAATTTATAACGATAAATATATTTTTGATATTATATGGTAATATAATTAGAAGGAAAATTATTCTCCTGATTTCACGATTTTTATTGCATAATTCTTTGAATCCTGAGTGAAAAAACACCAAACCAATGAATTTACACAAAAAATGTAACGACCAAAAAACATTTAATTTAAAGAGAAAATTATTTTTTAATTAATTTACAAACGCTGCCTTTTATCTATGTATCCAGTTTTATCTGTGTAATGTATTTATTGTGACAATGTCACTTTCTTCTAATTTTGACCTAAAATAACCATGTCTTGTTTTTGAAGTACTTTTTACGCACGCATTTTGTACACTTCACGACTGTGTGTATTAATATAAAATACTTCTGAGCCTAAAACAATTTTCCCAAAATGCCATTGTATTCTCAAGGTAAATCATTCGCCCGTTCACTGACTGTGTATTCAGATAATAGACCTAAATATTTTAAAGCCCAAACCTCAAACATTAACGCTGATATTTATTTGTAAAAGTAGTTTTACGCACTCATCACACGTCACACTTTACGCTCAGTCGTCTCGTTGTCCTCTGTGTATATATGTATAATATTCTTGCATTTTTCTCTGACCTTAAAATGTTGTATTGCCACTATTAATTCAGAGGAAATATTTTTATTTTACGCACGCGTGACGCACACTTTACGCACACGCGGTCTGTCTGCTGGCTTCTTACCCGCACTCTGGCCTCGGTCAGGTTCGTCCACACCGCGATCTCCTCCCTGGTGCTCATGTCCGGGTAGCGGTTCCTCTGGAACGTGGCCTCCAGCTCCTGCAGCTGCTGGCTGGTGAAGTGAGTCCTCTGCCGCCGCTGCTTCTTCTTCTTGGGGTCGTCCGCGTTGCCGTCATCGCTCCTGTGCTCGGCGCTCCTCTCCTTTTCTGTCGGTGAAAAGTGGGACTGAAATTACTGCGTGTGCCCGATGTGGGGTGTAAAGTATTCAACATGTCATGAAATATGACAGAATGCACTCTCTGCGTGAGTCCAGGAAAACACCAACACCAGGGAGAACGTGCGTGTTGGAGTCCAGCGAAGGCCGCCGACGTCAGAAATAAAAACAAAACTTCACATAAATTATTTCTATTGGCCTTCATAAAAAACACGCCTGGGTTGTGAAGTGGCAGCTGGAAGCCAAATATTTATACACTTGTCTGGTAATTTAGTGTCATTTTTTTGTGTGTGAAAGTTGTTCCTTTCGTCAACACCACGTCCTTTACTAGGAGCTTTCCGCGGCCTTATCTCTGCTATCTGCTGTCTGTGTCCTAACAAGAGTGCCTCAATAACCCGAAGCACCGACACGTGCAAAGGTTAATCACTATGAGAATGAATACCTCTGATTAAGTGTTTGTTAAAAATTGTCAAAATCTAAGGTGACCTTTTGTAGTTTGTAGTTTGGCTCCATGGCAGCTACTGAGGTGTGTGCACTCTTCTTTGTTGTGTGACCGATGACTAAAGTAGACGTCATTGAGTTTGAATTGGCTGTTGAATAGACTCAGTATTTATAGTTTGTTCTAATGGATTCACTGACAGCAGGCCAGGGTGTTCTGCACTTCTTTACACAGACAGGACCTCGGGGTCCTGCCAAATACTTGGTCCAACCGTGCAGCACAATGAACAAAAATGGGCAAAAAGCCGCTCCATAACCGACCTGTTACCAGGATCATCTGGTATTATTCTGCATCGATCCATAAAAGAGGCATAAACTGCAATATTGAGATAAAACTGGAGTATATGTGAGGTCGTTCTGTGAATGTGAACTCATAACAGTGAGAATGTAAACAGACAGACAGTGAACAAACTTGTCTCCTTTCCTTAAAATCGACCTTTATGCTTCGATGACTTGTCACCGCAAATCTGCGCCAATAAATGAAAAATAAACCGAATGCACCTTTAAAAATAAAAAGTGGAAAAGAATGGAGTTGCCTGTAAACACTCTGACCTGCCAGCTCTGTGTCTGAAGACTCGCTGCTTGAGTTCTCTAACGTTTCCCGGCTGCTGTTTGACGTTCTGGGTAAATGAAACGCGGGGGCCACGTCGCGGGGCGGCGGTGCTCTCGCTGCCTCTGCGACTCGGTCCAAATTCATCCCACCTTAGGAGAGAAGGATGCGTAGAAAGAAGGAAACGGCAGTGAATCCTCAAGGTGGGAGAGCGAGTGCGCAAAACCTTCCCTTTCAACAGCAGCGATTCACAGAAATCCACCCGCGGCGAAGCACACAACACGACAGCAGAGGATGGACCATGCACGACGGTTCCCTCGGGAGAGTTGCTCCAGCACAAAAAATAAAAATATAAAAAACAAAATACTTTAAGGGTAGAAGGAAAACAGCCCGTGTCTCCTCTGCAGTAGTGTCGGCTCTGTGCGCGCGCTCTCTTCTCCTCCTATATCCGCTGCAGGGAAAAGCCAGTGCCCGCAGTGAGCGAGAGGAAGCTCCGGCTCTCCAACCTACACATGAACCCACCCATCTGCGTGGATTAACCTCCCCAAAATCCGCAGCCCCACCCACCTGTCCGCTGCAAGAAAATATCCATGCAACACAATGCACTGAGTGTCTGCTCTGAGCTGTGGAGCCAATAGAAAAGCAAGGTTTCTTTAATTTATTCGATTCAAAGACAACGTGTCTGTGGTTTATGGCAGCGTGGAAATGTGCCACGACCGGTGGGTGCAACACGTGCATGTTCTAAACAGGTGGCTCTGCATTAGTGGCGTGAGGCTGAGAATCAGATTAAATGTAATTGACATTTTTTATAGTGTTTACCTGTTTTTCTTTTTTCAGCCGGCCGGGGCGCGCATTGACATGTGGGAATAAAATGGGCCTTTTATTCATGACTTTTTACACACGCGCGCACACATTTCTCTCAGTCTCTCATTTGGACTTTTTAAACAAAACTACATCCGTGGTACTTCACTTAATGTAAAACTAATATATATATATATATATATATATATATTATTGACTGTGTAATGCTCTTGTACAGCTCAACCCAACATGGTTTTCCAGGCCGTCACTCCAACGTTTTTCCAAATGACATTTATATTTTTTTACTTTACCTAGTAGGCTAATGCATTACCACGTTCTCCTTTTTTATTCTAATCCTAAAACGTATTCTTTAGGTTATTTTTTTGAATGACTTTGTGGTTCCTTACAAGGATTGTCTCTACTTTGACTGTGTTCACAACTAGTCCTGTTAATACCTAATTCTATAACTCTAACATACAAACTGTTAACATCTTCATTCCAACCTATGTCACTCACCCTAAATGTGTTCAGACACCCCCCCCACACACACACACAGCTGCTTTGCTGAGACTCTCTCTATAACAGTTAATACCAAAAACCGAAATTTAACAAACCGCAAAACAAATGCCGCAGCCACCAGTGACTCACGTGTTAGTTTCTGTCTCTTTGTGAGTTGTATCGTTCGCTAAAATGTAAATTCTAATTCCAAAAATGAGTAAAAAACCGACCAGACACACAGGATACTACTTCCTTCTAATACTGCGTGTACTGCATATCTCCCAGGTTACAGTATCTGCTTCCCAGCCGCGGGCCTGTTGTTTCTGGTATAGTTTTATATGGTTCACTGCAAAACGACACGCGTCTCTCTCGTATTCACTGACAGTTGATCCAGCGGGAATAAAAGACAAGACACAGCGGTACGTGTCCACATCAGTCAGTGTTGCTGTGATTGCCCATATACCGTGGGTGTACAGTAAAAAACGGCCCACACTGTTGTTGACATAGTGTGGTGATGATTGTCTTTCATCTCCTCACTCCTCACTTCAATCTGCAGAAACAGGTGGTTGACCACTGAGATGGATGGTGACCCTCTCAACAGCATCCAGTGATGCACATGATGGATGTGATCACATGTCACAGGAATTTAACCGTGGAAGGGGAATATCTGCGTGAAGTCAGCTGTGTGTCACACATGCGTGTGCTGCAATGTGTTGAAGGTGTTGGCTCTGAGCAGCAGGTCAAATAATAGTCGTTTTTAAATCCTCTTCTCTGGAATCTAATGTTCCATCTATTTAGGAATCTCTACTGTGTTTGCTCATATTTGATCATTCATTTAGTCGGTGAAACTCGTCATAATGAGGCGTTTATTGTCATTGCAGGCCGTGTGCAAAAAAGGAAAAAAAAAACCTCTGGACAAAAGGAACTCTTTACGTGTAATGGAACATTCAGTGACGACTGTAAACAACACTCTGGAGTCATACAACTCGAGGTGAGGATGGACTTTTAGTAGTATATTTGTCCACAATGTGTTTCCATTACAGGCCCAACAGTGGCTCCAACTATTGGCTTGGTGAACTTTAAATTAAGGCAGAATAGAAAATGACTTAAGTCCTAGAAAGAAGTCCTCAAACCAAAATAATTTCCGTCCAGAATAAGGCAACTTAAACCTCACTCAAGAGAAGGAAATAGATACTAATTTAATAATAAAATAAATATGGTAAATTATACAACATTTGTGCCCACAAATTCATGCACTTGACCCCCCCCCCTTTTTTTTTTAGTTATATAATTATTTTCAAAGCTGCGCCCCGACCAGAACCAGCCGTTTCCATCATATGCGCTCGGATCAGGCCGCACAGTGAGACGCGCAGTGTCACCGGCGCCAGTCTTAAGCGTTTTCGGCCACTGTGTGACAGGGGATCCCGGTCCAACCAGAAAGCTCCCCCCGCAGGCCTTTCGCAAGACAATTGTGCGAGCTCTCAACGAGCATTTGGTGCTCCGCTATATTTGTTTAGCGCGTCCGTGCGCAGAGCATGTCATAAAGACCAGGGCCAGACCCCAGGAGCCCGTATTACATTTCTGCACATCACAGGCCTGTCAGGGAGGAAAGTCAATGAAAGGATTCCAAAGAGGATGGATTATCTGTTCTACAAACCCAGCCTGACCGTGCATCAGCCACGGCCTGTTCTGCCCTGCTTGTAGTCCGCGGTTGCCCCGTGCGTAAAAATGAAATTTAGAGGAAAAAAACACATCTAGCTGCAGCATGTGACGTGACCCCGATCAGCGGATGTAGGTGAAAAAGCAGCAAATGATGAATTATGTAATGATGTGACCTCAATGGCACAGACGCCTGGTTGTGACGGCAGGTGTTTTTTACTATATGCAGCCAAAAAGGTTGAATGGGTCCAGTGTTCCTGGATCAACGTCACTGCGTAAAACATCGCCTAACGAGACGAGTTGTACATTTTTATTCAAAATGGACAAAATACATGAATCAATTTTAGTCCTGTGTAACTTTACTGTCAATTCTATTGTGAAATATATACATTAATACAAAATGTGGGTTTAATGCACGATTACTAATTAAACCCGCGGACTATTTTAAATTTCCTGAGTGAATGTCATTGGATGTAAAGATTAAATCAAATGATATATATTTGTACATATTAAATTTACTTCACAATGTGTCCATAAAACAACTGCCCCAAAACCATAATAACATGAAAAAAAATAAATATAAAAGTATATAAAATGTGTATATAACGTTTGATTGAAATTGTATAAAGAAAAATAAAATTAGAAAAAAAAAACACTGCAGGAACCAAATCTCGTACAGCCTTTGGCCTCGGCCGTTCGGGGCGTCAGGGTAAATAATAATAATAATAATAATAATAATAATGTATACCTTTTTTGTTACAGATAGCTTATTTGATTTCATGTACAGCACATGCAAATTCAACAGTGAGTCAGACACTGCAGGCTGATCGATGGTGAGGGTCTAATTTAAATACCCTGGACCCCCTGCCTGCGCCCCGCTCCTCCTCTGCTCTAAAGGGCACTTGCGTGTGATGGATGATTTAAAAAGCCTTTCCATCCGGCAGGACAGGTTAAAGGCCAGTGGCAATGCAAACACTCATATTTTTCCTCCCGGGAGTGAAAATAAACTCGGCGAGCGCCGTTAATCACACAAATAACACATCTGCACACACACACACACACACACACTGCTCCATTTTTCACTTTTAAAACCCGAAGGTGACCCAGCAAAGAGGGGGATAATGTCCACAAACAACAGGACATATAGAAAATTAAAGCAGGGGCCGGAGAACAGTGGAGATGTAACTGGACACGGTGTGTAACTGGAGATGGACAGAGCTGATTATTACCTTGGTGATGGCTTCACTGCTTGGACCCAGGTCTGACCTGGAGCCTAACAACCAACAAACAACGTGACAGGTGTAAATAAAAATAATTAACCTCCAACAGGAGGAAACACCAGGGAGGGTCGTTATCTATTATAATGTCGTAAACCTCCTTTTGTTAAAGCGCATATTAAAAGTCCCCTCAGTTGAGCTCATAGGGCCGTATTTGCAGAAAGTGAATTTTAAAAAAAAAGCAGTATCAAGTGCTCAGTAATGAGATTCTCCCTTTAATAGTTTTTATGGCCACCGTGCATTTTCACACTGAATAATCATTTACCAGGTATCTCAGGTTTAATTAGATTATTTAGACAGTTCAATTAGAATATTGTTTTATTGGAATTAAAAATCCTTCCTTAATAATACATTAAAACGTAAAATCTGAATATTAGTATTTAATTTAAGATTCAATTTAACAGGACAAAGTAAATGCGTAGATTTAATTTAATAAATATATATTAGTTTAATTTATTAAGCACGCTCCAAGTGAATTCAAAATAAAACTAAATCAAAAGTAATCAACGTACAATTCTGACGTTACTTAAGTACGGGGTCAACTTTTTACCCAGGTAACCCTGTCCAAACAGGTAGAAACTGTGATATTTTTAGAGAAAATTAAAAATGTGACGTAGTGAGAAAAAAACATTTGTTTAACTGGATTTAAAGAGAAAAAAAATCTTAATTTTTTTTTTTTTTTTTTTGTAAATACCGATTTCCTGTCATTTCCCCTTTAAGAGTCAAACACGCTCCTGTCCAGACAGAACAATATTTTTTGAGCTCGTCCTCCCAGGCTGCTCCTGATTGACGTCTGCCTCCGTTTGCATCTCATTACACATTTCCACACATCAGCGTGTCGTAAAAGCCGCCGCTTTAATTCACCGCAATCACACATGTTGTGGCTGAAAACAGACGACTGTAGACACGCGGCAGACTCATCAGCACCGACACCAACACCGACACCAACAGCGAACACTAATCCTTCTGTTTCATACTTGACGGATGAACCGCAGCACGGAGCGTCAGAGGACGTGAACACAACCTGTGAGGAGAAACGTCATACCTGGGTCTCCACAGGGAATCACATTCTTCGACAGATTCATTTCCATTCCAGTTACCTAAGTGAAAAGAAAAAAAGAAAAGAAAAAATAATTTTTACACGTTTTATAAAATAATAAATATCTGTTGGCAGCTGAAACTGCAGTGACTTCATAAACAACAACATCGGGTTGGTTTTAACTGTCGAACTTAGACCGTCAATAACAGGACGTTGATATTTTTGTTCTCGAATTGATAGTAATTACGTTTGAAAGTTATTGTAGTGATTTAACAATGCTGTTGTCACAATAAATACATATTAATTATTATCTATTACTACTAATTGTTCTTGTTTCAATTATGTAACAAACATTTTGTCTCTAAAACATAACATTGAAGATATTTATTATAAAAGCATTTAAAAGGAAATTCATTGGAGAAAAAAAAGGAAAATAAATAAATAAATAACATGACTACACTATTGTCTGTCCTGCGCTGGCCTATAATTTTGGCCCTCACAACTGACGTCACACAAACCATTATTCTAGTTTAGACTCAGATTTGGCCTCGCTCATATTTACAGAATAATCTTTAACTTTTTGTGTCCAATCCTGTCATTGGTCTAGCAGTAATGCACTTCTTCATCCTCAGAAACCACGTCATTGTCATTTGTCTTATTTGGGGTCAGGTGGTTTGGACTAATCTGGATCCTCAAACTACATAAACAAGACTTTACTCCCCCGCCCCGCAACACACGCCCGCACAAACACGCATACATTTGTCTATATTGTAAAGAAACCCCTCCGCTGCCCTCAGTAAAGCCCCTCAGTAAAGCCCCTCAGTAAAGCCCCTCCATACCCTCTCCTGTCTCTGAAACCCAGAATGTCCATCTGCACAGTCTGACACTGTCTGTCCCTGATGCTGAGACACGGTGTCCAGATCTGATTGTCCTCTGCTGCGTCCCCCCATTCACTGACGACCTCTCTGACCCCCCCCCCCCCAGCTGCTGAATCCAAACACACGTGGATTCAGAACTTGGCATTTGCAGCATCAAGAGTGCCGTGTGCCAAACACCCAAAGTTAAACTGAGCCGCTGCAGAGCTAAAATTAAAAACAAATCAGCCACCACCCTCAGCCAACATGTGTGTGTGTGTGATTAACTCACCAGTTTTCCCCCAGCAGAGGCAGATGACAGAAACACCACAGTTCACCCTGACACTCTCTCCATGCAGGTGTTCAGTTAAATCCACTGTTTTTACGCGTCGTCTGCGCGTCAACGCTGCGTCCGCGGTAATGTGCTCAGTGCCTGCGTCTCTGCGCCTCTGTCTTGGTTTTTCTTTCTCGGAGCTGCACCGCAGCACGCCTCGTGATGACGTCACCAAATCGCAACCCCCCCCGACAATTACTCCCCCCAGCTGCAGTCTCCTCTTCATTCCTCCATCATTCCTAAAATATGAACCTTTATCACCATCTGATCCTCTTTTTTCATCAACTAAAAATCTAAAAATATAATAATGAAATCATTAAATTAGGAAAAATCAAGATCATATATATTCTTTTCCTTTGTTTGTGTGAGCAGTGACAGGCGCTGTGAAGAAGAACAGTTTCAGTGTGAAATGTAGGAGGATTAGGTATTTTATGACGCGCATTAGCAGAAAAAGCCTTCACTGTGAAGTGAAGCTGCTCCCTGAAGCTTCGAGTACTTTATGAAAAAGACCACACATACATTAAGTATAATAATAATAATAATGTTTTCTTTAAACCAAGAAAACAATAGTAACAAATCCGAGTTAGTCATTTTTTTCCTCAATGTTTAACATGTTCATTGGTTATTATAAATAAAGAGAAATTCATAGTGTGAAATACACTATTAGCTGAACAGGACGCGTCTCTTATTTTTCTATTTATTTACAAAACACAAACAAGAAAAGCAACAACGACAGTTGGAGTGTGTGTTTTTGTGTGTGTGAGATTTCCGCTCTAGACTTAACATGTCCGATATTTAACACTGCAGCATTATTTATCTTTTCATTAA